CATATAATGACATGGGTATATTCATTGCATATGCCATGTTACAAATATGAATATACAGTAACTCAAATATGGTAAAGAAGAGCCTGGCTGTCTTAATGCAAGGGACGAGACATAAAATTAGAACACTGTAAATTTCAAACTGAAATTCAATGTGAGGACAGAGTAATTCAAACAGATTGATTAGAAAAGGATCCAAGGTGTACCTCAAGTCATTATGTCTACCCTTCGAATGAGGGAGACATATTGTATTAGTACTGGTTTGTATACGCCCGTCAAATTTGACGGGAGTATTATGGAATGGCGTTGTCCGTCCGTCCGTCCGTCCGGCCGGCGTAAACTTTTGTTTGTCCGACTGATCGCTTTGAAACTTGGTATACGTTATAATCATGCTATGAAGTTGTGTCTCCTTCAAAAGAAGTTTGATTTGACATTTTTTGCAAAAGTTATTGCCCTTTGTTCATTTTAGTATTTGATACTTCTCCGGCTCTCTCCTACATTTTTCAACGGATCATTTTGAAACTTAGTAGGCTAAATAATCATGATATGTTGTTGTGTTTCCTTGAAAAGAATTTTGCATAGGTTCCATGTTATTTCACCTACGTTCACCAAACTTACCATATGTATTTGTCATGGGAAGGCGGAATCTCTCGCACTAAAATTCGGTTTTGTGCCCCACTATATACAGAGTAATGGCCCTTTGTTTATTTTTAATACCGAAATTTGTCCACGGCATAATTTCTAAACCATTAAAGATATCTTATTCAAACTTTTTTTACCTGCATCACCCACAGAAGGTGTGCAGTGTTATGGCCCTTTGTTTATTTCTAATACCGAAGTTTGCCCAGGGCATACGTTCCATGTTATTTCACCTACGTTGACCAAACGTTTTATGTATCTTGGGAAAGTGGAATCTCTCGCACTAAAATCCGGTCTCGTGACACACTATATACAGAGTTATGGCCCTTTGTTTATTTCTAATACCGAAGTTTGTCCGGAGCATAGGTTCCATGTTATTTCACCTACGATGACCAAACTTACCATATTTATGTATCTTGGGAAGGTGGAATCTCTTGCACCTATATCAGGTTTTGTGCCCCACTATATACAGAGTTATGGCCCTTTGTTTGTTTGTAATACCGAAGTTTGTCCACGGCATAACTTCCATGTTATTTCACCTACGTTGACCAATTTGGCTATAGTTTTAAAGTATCTTGGGAAGTAGGAGTGTCGCATTCTAAATTCGGGTCTCGTGCCCAACTGTTAATTTTTTATACCGAAGTTTGTCTTTTGGCTAATAAGGAGAGACATATGTTTTTGTTCACAAATTCTAGTTGTAATTACATTTTTACTTCAATATTATTGTGAATAATTCTAAATTGTTTTACAGTAAAAAAAACTCGTCATATTGCCCCACACTTCACTTGCCACCTTGTTTACCGCCAACATTATTATTTATCTCTGGGTCAGGAGGGGTCTACGTGCTCATAGACCCCGCCTGGTTTTTATAGACCCCGAGCCAAAGGCGTCTCTGTTGGTCACATCTTGCCCTAGTTTTATCGATGCCGGTGTACTCTGATCTATTGGACACTCAAACCAACTCAACACGTCGAACAGTCCTATCGTTTAAACGTTCTCAAGTTGCGTCGTTTTACAATTAACGTTTCTAGATGAAACGTCTACACATATAAATATATAAGTATAATTTAACGAAAGGCTGTCCCCATATGGTTTGGTTTGGTTGTGCTTTACATCTAAGTAACAATTATTCTCATTTAAGGACGAGCCAGAGATGGTGATGGTGGAAAATCGGAGTACCCGGAGAAAAATCATCGTCCTGCATGCCGACTGCTCCACGGAGGCCTCGAACCCACGACCCAGTAATGGAGGGCTGTCCGAGATCAGACGTCTTAACCTCTCGGCCATCGCGTCCACATTTAATACTTAGTACATCTGTACCCTTTAGTTTTGAAAATCTTATTTATTCATCAAACTTGCCCTCAGTAAATGAGGAACACAATTTTCTGATATATGTAGGATAATGTACACATCTCACTTGTGATTCCAAATAAGGAAGCACCTATTTCAAATTTAACTTTATACAGTAAAATTTCATTATACAGCCACCATTTTGATTAAGAAAAAAATAGCGTTATTAGGAGGTTTGGAGATAAAATGAGGGAAATGTGAAAAGGAATTCTGAAGAAAAAGAGAAAAATGGACAGTGATATATATTGTCGGTAAGCGAGGTGGCAAACGACACGAGAGTGGTATTATAACAGGCGTAATTTAATGAAATAACTTAAATACTGATTTGCTTTTGAACAGGAGGTAAATTTATAATGGTTTTAGATAGAAAATTCAAATTTTTTGGTTTATTTACATCAGGAAAAATAAATAATTGATGTGATATCGTTGATAACAACTGATTAACAATAGTCAAATTTATACAATGGACACTAGACAAAATCAACTATGTAGTAGAGTTAATTTACATGCAAACTTGTGAGATTTTACCTTGTATATTGACAAAATTATTAAAGGTTGAAAAATGTCGTTAAACTATGATAAAGCTAACCACCCTGAAGCATTTGCCTCTTGATATTTAAAAATAGATTGCAATTGCTTTATATTGACATTTTCATACATGATGACAAATTCAGTATATCAAGGCCGTTGAAAAATTGACGTCACGTATTTAATCTTTAAACCTTAATGTCGGTATGTAACCTAATCGGTTACATCTGGAATGGATTGAATTTTTAAATATACAGCAAAACCTCTATATACTGTCATATCCCCCCCCCCTCCAAAAATGGCGTTATAAAGGGACTTGGCGATAAAATGAGGGAAATTTATAAAGGAATTCTATAGAAAAAGAAAAAACTAGACCGTGAAATATATTTGATAGTTTTTACTGTATTTTGCACGAGTGTTTGTTAATAGTCTAGTACTTTATATACGTTTTTCGTCTTCACCACACTAAACGTCAGAAATTC